TATTTTGTATATATACAATATAATTAAAATGATAATGTAACACTTTTTTCAATTAATCTAATTATTTTTATTTATTGTGCAAAAAAATGTCAATAAAAAATTTAGATTAAAAGAGAAACATTTCATAGTTTTTATTAGCTGAAAATATTAATATTATAGACACACTAAATGGGTTTTTATACCTATTGTTGCGTAACTCTTGATTCTTAAGCACTTTTATAATATTGAAAAAATGAAAATATAATTTACTCCAGCTTAGCCTTTGCCATTATTCTGTTAAATGTTGCATGCCTACTTTCAGGCACTTTGTGCAAAACTAACAATCGGCCAAAGCAACAGCTGCTGAATGTGGCAAGTGTTGCTCCAAGTGGACACTCGACTTTAACACTTGCGCCCCACTTGCTAGACTCCCACCCTTTGACATGCACCAGGCAACCCTACACACACACACACACACACACACACACACGTATTGTTGACATCATAATTAGAACGTAACCGACACACACACACACTCACGCACACACGCATTCTCACAGTTGACTTAAAAACAAATTGCGCTGCACTTTTGCACCGTCCTACTCAGATTTATGACCCCGCCTCGCCCGCCCCATTTCCCCTTGTCCATTTAGCCCCAACTGTTCCGACACCTTAGACATCCCACGATTCGCAGCACCCCTTTCAGTCGCTCATGTGCCACATTTCCACATTTCGTGCTACATTTTAATTCGCTGGTTGCGGGCGAATGTTGAAAAACTCATTAACTGTGCACGCTACTTGGCACCTTTTTTTTGCAAGTTTTTCTTTTTTCTACTTTTTCTTTTTGGCTTACAATTTGTTCTCACTTGCCTCATTCGCTCGCTTTGTGCGCGTTCTTTTTAGACACTACGCTGCTTCTCTCTCTCTCTCTGCCTCCCTCTTTTTTTCGCTCTCTTTGTCTCTCTTTCACAGTTTTGTTTCTCTCTGCTTTTTTTATTTCAGCAGGCAGCAGGTCGAGCCCCCATTTGTGGGCGAAGGTCGACAACTTATCTGCATGGCAGACTTTTCTAGGCATTCTCCCCCCATGTGAGGCTGTGTGTGTGCGTGTGTGTGCTTTTGTGGTTGTGCACATACATGATTGCACAATAAGCCGATTTGAGAATGGTCTCCTTCTTAAATCGAGCATAAATATTATGCCAAGCCCATGAAGGGAAAACGCGAAATGCAATAAAATTAATTAAAATATAATCAAGAGCCAAACCACAGGCGACATTAATTAACTTGATGTATAGACTAAAGAATAATTAGCAATGAGCAGAAATATATATGACAAAAATATATATAAAAATAGTAAGTAATACAATAAATCGTTACAAATATAAGAATGCTAAAAATTCCATTAAACCAAAAATGTTCGAAATTATAGAAATATATTCTCATTTTTTTTTTCTCCTCTTCAATATTGCTTAACATTTATTAATAGCAATAACAAAAGCGAGTATTTTTACTGAACTATAAAAAATATGAGTAATTTTTTGCAATAAATAACTTGGCTCTTATGACCCATAACACTTTTGCTTAAAATTGTTATTAATTAATATCATTTTTTATGCGTTTTATATACATCTATATATGAATATTATTATTATTTTTTGTACTCCCCTGCCCTTTAGGTGAAGCAACACATGCACTTGTTTGCACATTGCCAGTTTCAGCGATGCTGGAAAAAATTCCTCCTTGTCTCTCAGCCCCTCAGCTGAAAAAATAACACTTTGGCAAACAATTCGTAGACGACATTAAAAATGGCGAGAGCCAGGCATTTAAAATGCAACTGCAAACAAACAACCAAACCGGATAGAGTGGCACTGCACTGCAACAACGATGCTACACTGTCTCCCCGCACATGCCCCTTCACATGGACAATTGCATTTTTGGGCTGCACTCGTTGCAATTTGGTTATCGTATGAGTGTGAGTGCATACACATGTTATGTAAGTGTGTGTGTGTGTGTGTGTGTGTGTGTGTGTGTGTGTGTGTGTGTGTGTGTGTGAACTTAGGGCCAGTTCAGCAAATGGTAACCCAAAATAAATGCAGCAGGAATATGTCAAGTGCGGTAATGCCAAACAACAACAACAACAACAAACAACGATTCAACCAGCCCGACTGAGACTCATTGTGTGTCCTCAGACCGAGTCTGAGCCTGATGCATTGCGCATATTACTCAAAAATAATGAAAAAGAGCAGCAAACGTTGCTGACGGCAGTTTGTGATTTTAGGTTATTCATTTCCTTTTTTTTTTTTTCTTTTTTTTTTTCTTTTGCAACCACAACATACACATACGAGCACACGCACACACACACAGCTGCCGCCCACTGTTAACACTCATCAACGGCGCCATTTATTTTGCGGCCGCCATTTTGTTGCAGCTGGCAAAATGGCCGCACAACCGTTACGGCTATTTCGAGAGCTCACTGCAGAAATCAGCTCTTAATACACAAATAAATGCCGCATTTCCATACATGTGCACACATATGTATGTATCTATATGTATATGCATGTGTATGTATATATATATAATACTGTCTGTTTATAACGTTTGTTCAGTGTCTGTCGGCAAAACGAAAATATTTATGTTGCAAATCTTTGCGGCTCGACGTTATTTTTATTTTTGTATTTGGTTCTCGTTTCTCAGTGCTTCGTGACTTGTTTGTCTTGTCTGCATATCCTGCAGCGATTTCATTTTTTTTTTGTTTTTCTTGCGTATTTTGTTGTTGTGCCCGCTTCTCGCTTTGTTTTGGCTGCAGCACTCAACGTCGACGTAGAGCGACTTTCATGTACATATATAGAAATATATATCGTTGTAAATGGGATTTGTTGCCTGGGCCGTCGCGTAAACTTCTCATTTATTAGCTTTCGTTCATGTGTGTGTAAAAATATTTTGCAATTTTTATAAGCACATATGTGTGTCTGTGTGTGTGTGTGTGTGTACGTTTTCCTGGCACCAGAACAAACAGATTTATTCGTTTAGAAAACTTTGTTTCCTTATCTGTGTTCGTGTCTTTGTTTGTGTTTTATGTCTCATTTTAGGCGAAGCTGGAAGCTAGCTCGTGAACGGGCTCTGGTACTTGAGTAAATAATCATAATGGAATTTTTAAGGCTTATGACAATTTAACATGTAACCTGTGCACACATATGTGTTTGCTTGTGTCTGAGTGGGAGAGTGTGTGCGTGTGTGTCTGGGTCCCGTTTCGGTCGGCTGCCTAAGGGCTAACAATGAGTTATGCGGTTTTATCAAAACATTTTATATGAACTGCAAACCCTAATTGGAATTTATGTACGATAGAAAGTCAACTTTTTTTTTTTTTTTGTTTCATTCCCCATTGATAAATTACTAAATGATAAAATATACTTTTAATCGTCTAGTGCTTTGCTGTTAAGAAATGGAAATAAAAGCAAATACATTAAATTTAATGTAAAAATAAACTCAATAAATTAAAAATAAAAAATTTTATTTAAGTGCATTGATAAAAAATTTTAAAATATATTTTTCCTTTTTTATTTATTTTATTTTTTATTTTTATTTTTTTATTTATTTATTTTTTTATTTTTTTTTTTTTATTTTATTTTTTTTACATCGTAGTTGCAGGAATCAATATTAATTCAATATGCCATTCACTTCGAAATTTCAGCTTCACATGTCTGCAGCATATGCAAACAAAAGCAATTCAATTTACAGGGTATCAACTAGCCAAACAGTCAATGCAAACACATGTTAGTTCGGTTTGTTTTCGCGCAAATTTAAAACTAACGCAAGCCAAGATGTAGCGAGTGGGGTAAACAGATTTGCATTGTGCGGGAAAAGCAATTGCAAAACCATTTCTAGTATCTGGCTGCTGGCTGCTGGGCGAGCAGCGTTGTAGCCATTTGCAGCAGATTCTCGACCACTTAACTGAAGTACTTCTATCCAATTTCGGTTATGCTGTAGTCAGCAGCCAAGGCGAGTTGGTTTTTTGCTGCATGAAACTATAAGTACAAGTGGGTGCTTGAAGAACTTCTTCTGCCACATACAATTCGTTTTTCCCCGTTTTGTTTCTTTTTTGTATTTTCTGTTATTTTGTCGAGGGGAAACAGTTGCTGGCGTCTGTGGCTTGGTCTTCAATTTACATGTTCATAAAGTGTAAATTGGAAATTTGAGCTTTTGTAAGTTGCGCTGCGGAATTATTAATGAATTGAGAATCAGCAACAAACTTTGCCATCATATCATGGGCGAGGAAGGTTGTTGCTAAAGCGAGTGCAGAAAAAGCCTAACAAGCAAATGCACAGCGAAAAGTGAAGTAGAAGAAAGAGCAGCAGTTGGCATTGGCGCAGTTGCAATGCGGAAGTTGAAAATTTATTTACATAACCACAAAAGAAAGAAGAAATACAAGTAGCTGGGAACAACATTAACTGAAAACCAACAGCAGCAGCAGCAGCCGCAGCCGCAGCAGTGGAAATGGCAGCAGCCAGCACTGAAAATGGGAATGACAACGAAAGCACAACAATAAATAGCATTATGCTAATCCAGGCCAAA